CCAGACCCCCCCCCCTTTTTTTTTTTTTGAAGAAAGCACGCATTTCCAACCTAGCATAAGTCTATGTTTTACCAAAATGTAAAGTTATATGGGCAAAACAAATTTTAATTATACAACTGCAAAGCAGGTGAAGAGTATAGCACATATATTGTATTTCACAACCCAAAAAGGGGCTGAGTACTTTCCATATTGCAGTACAAGCTCATTATAACAAAATCCCCATGAGACAGAGAAGAAAAGTGCACTAAAAGAGGATATTTGCTATAAGGTTAGTTAATTTGCTCCATTATCATAATGAAAAAATGCCTTCCTGCTTTTGGGATTGCTAAAGGAGGAAGAGATTATAAACAGAGTTTCTTATAATAAGGTTGTGATTTCTTTATTGAACATTAGGAAATAATTGTGAGACTCATACTGTTCAAAATGGAAGTCTTCTATGCATGGTTTTATCTATGGCAATCTGGATTCTTGCTAAGAGTCTTGTGGTAAGTTTCCATTATATAACTTGAAGTGAAAAGAACAGCTTATTCAGGACAGAGATTTTATTGCAGTAGGAGGCATGAAGAATTGCTCAAATCCTGTTACAGGGTTAATTTAATGCCTTGTAGTGTTATACATTTAATATATTTTAATAATTAGAAGAACAACAAATGTGTGATGACTGTCATTTTGTTGTTCTTATCAATTAGTTCAACAACAGGCTAGTGTACTTGTGCTTACTCAAACAGCTAAAATTCTTAACAGATCTCTCACTGAGGGATGCGAGACATTACAGCTCCATACAGTAAGCCATCCCGGGCCCCGAGGAGATTAGTTTAAATCTCTGGACTGGATACCCGAGGTAGTGGGGGTGCTATCACTGCTGCCTTCACAAACAATCCTCTATTACCATGTCTTTCCCACATAACATGCTCACCTGTCATCTCTCATCACATTTGACCATAAGCTTTTTGAGACTGAAACTCTTCCACTGTTCCATGTGTACAGAGCACCTCTCTCAGCGGGACCCTAATCTCCAGTTGGAATATCCAGATACATTTTACCAAGCTGGCAATAAGACCAAACAACATTAATTGTTCTTGACAGCTCTCAAAATATTATTCCAGATCATTTTTGTGACGACTGTAACAGTAGCAGAGGAAACAATTCCTGAATAGAAAAGTCATTTTTAGATTGTGGCATCCATATAAATAAACAGCGAACTGTCCACTTAAAGCTCAGTGGAAATTTTAAAGAACAAACTGTGGAATCTGATGAAAAGTTCTGACTGAAATTCAAAGTACTCCTGGGTGTGGGCATCTCTGATTAAATAAAACCCTGGCAAATTTGAGCTGCATCCTCAAATTTGATTTTTACAAGCATTGCTCTGCCAGCTGAAATTCAAAGTCCACCTATATTTCTAAAATGAACTGTTGAACACTACAGAAACAGAAGGACATTTTAGGCTTAAAATTGATATGACAGGAGGAGCACCACATCTTATCACCCTACCTATGTTAGGGATGGTAAGGACTCTTGAAGCAGACAGGTCTACTATTCAGTAAAAACACGCTATTTGACAGCAAAAAGTACTGAATGAACAAGAACAGAAACTGTTACCTGTCAACACAGCACACTCATGACACTGATACTTACAGGAAGTTTGGTGAAGGCAGGATTGGTGACATGTTTTCCAAAGGCATCTTCCTGGAACTGTAGCAGCTGCACCACCAGCCCAGCCAATGTTTTATTGGTAGGAGCATCTGCTTGAACATACTGAAAGACACAAACACATACTAAATGGGTGAGAGGAAGAAGACGACGCACTGATTTGTCAATTCACTGACCAATCCCAACCAATTCCAGAGCATCATTTATTATCCAGTTTCTCCATTAAGTTTGTGTGTGGTCTTTGGTTTATTATTGGTTTTCATATCCATTATAAAAAAAGGGACTGTTAAAGAACCTACCTTTCTATAATAGGTGAAGAGCAGCTAACTTTATGATTGCTATCTTAAAAATATCAGTCACTACCAAAATCTGTATTTCTGCTTATTTGCTTTATTCCTTTAAAAACATGAAGCATAAATGCTTATTTTAAGACACGCTCTAAGATCTTGCCTTGAGCACAATTAGCTAACCAAACTCAATAATTTGTTACAGATAAGGTTTAAATACTTAAAGACAGAGATCAGATTAAAGTTGCAAAACTAATTCTAGCCTACACATATATACCGTCCATTAATGCAACCTATGGGCTCCTTCTTTCTTAAATGAATTGCACGATGAACTGCGTGTTAATCCCACTAGTGTCTATTCATTAACATTCAGGGTGTTTGTGCACAAACAGGAAAACCAGACCAAAGAGTAGATTTCTAAATTTTGTAGTAATCTACAATCAGATGCTTTTCCCAAGCAACATATTTCAGCACATGGCCTTCACACACATATATACATGCATGTGTGCATATACATAGAATAGGTAGGGTTGGGAGTGTTGCAGCCAGGATGCTCCAGGAAACATCTGAGGGGCAAGGATTTTCTGTGATATCTTTTATCAGACCATCTGCATAGTTGGGAAAGCTGTAGGATGCTCTCCCAACTACACATCTGGTCCAATAAAAGGTAGCACAGAAAACCCTTGCTTCTTGTAACAGCTGTCCATGGGACCACAATAAAAGGCTTTCTTACTGGCAGGAGCCTGATCCCCAGGTCAAACAACTTCCGAGGTAAAATGAGGTTATTGGCATTACTTCCTCATGCAGAATTTGAGAGGTTAATAACATTAGCTGTTCAATAAGGAGAAGTCACTTAGGTTTTTTCTAGTGAGTAACAACTTGGTATCAAAAATGCCTCCTTCCCCCTGCCTCCTCCACATCTAGATAGCCCAATTCCTACAGTGCCTTGAAAAATTCATGAAGCCAAGACTATTGCATTGCACTCAAAACTTCAAGATTTGCTGTTCTTTCTAAAAACACTGAACATCTAGACATAGGAGGGAGATGGCTTTAAGTTATTTGTTAAGTTAGGAAATTAATCCCTAGTCTAAGCTCTAAAACAAAGTAGCGTGTAGGTTGCAAAGGATGCTATAAAAGGCATGGATTTCTTCATAAGTTTACAGTAAAGAATACTCAGAGAAATTAAGTTATTTTAGTATTTCTTGTGGGAGCCAGGTTGACATATCCAGACATTAAAGTCTTAATCAAAAAAATAAACAGGTGGCAGCGTAATGCTCCCCAGGCTCTCTCACCACATATGCCAAAAAGGGCCTGGAAATACATTCAGGAATGAAGAGGTAGGTGCTTCATACCCTGTTCATTTCTTGCCTCTTTTTTTTGGCAGAGGTGTTAACTGTGGCAATTTTATGTTGACAGCTTCCCAATACAAACTGACCAAGTCAATCATTTCACACACGACACAGATTCATTTATCACCATAAACTGTATACAACGGTGTGTTATTTTATGTGCATATGGTTGTAAGAGGGTGAAGGTAACAGACAAATTGCTGCTTTTGGAATTTACACTCGTAAGATTTACAGCTGAACATCTTTACTTCACCATTTGTTGGATGTGATAAATCAGAAAGAACAACCCTACTTGCATCTCCCAGGAAAGGGAGCCAACTTTGCACAGCAAAGAAAGGCGCTCTATTTTGGCTGACTGCAAAGTTTTCTGAACTGTCAAATGTAAGATATCTTCATCATCATGATGAACAAAGTTATCCCAGAAGTAATGTGCATATTACCATTCTATACATTTAGTTAGTAGTAGTAATCAGAATATTTAGATTAATATTAATGTAATGAAAGTGTATGAACCTGGAGTGTAAGATGCCACATGAAAATATAAATCAAAAAACAGAATTATGTTTATCAAGACAGCTTTACTGTTGAACTTTCAAGCAGCAAAACTTGGCCACACATACCCATAAAACAAAAGCTGGCACATCCGATTACAGACTGACCAGTTTCTACAGCAGCTTGCATGCATCCGTCAGCACACACCCCTTCTCTCTCAAACAACGCAGAAAATAGCAAGCAGCCAGTTTGTGCATGCTCTCCATCCCTCCCAAGGTATGTGGGGTGCAATCATTTATCTACAACAGGAGTTCTCAGCTTCATTAGGCTCAAGGAACCACCTGGAAAATATCAGCTCTTCATGTCACTCATTTTTGGATTATGAAAACAGCAAGTCTCATGTTGCACAGGCTCAGGAAGCCCACACAATTTCAGAATCATTTTGACACCCTGGATTTCTTTTTGAAATCTCTGGGTTTATCTTGTGAATCAAGCATAAGTGTTTGCACACCCAACAATGCTAACATGGTGCGACACCCTTAAAAGGATCTTGTGGCCCTCTGGTTGAGAACCGCCTATCTAGAAGCCTTATTGAATAACACAACAGGCTCTGTAATCATGAAAACACATTTCACAAAGAAGATCCATTCTGCCACCATTGCTTTTGCCTGGCTATAGTTTTATCCCTATGTGAAATCTTTTATACATGTATTTATCTGAAAAATTGTGTCTAAATTAGCTATTTTCTTCATTTGATAAAACACTTTGATTTTAAAACACTGAGCATGTGACCAAATCCTCAAAGTCCTCTACAGGTGTGGAAACAGGAGCATAGAGCATGAGTGACCAAACTAAGACCTGACTTGACAATATCTGTGCCCCAATCCATATTTCTTTCTCCAAATGACACTGCTTATTTACAGCACTCGCAACAAATAGTATATTGGTGCTTTCCAAAGTGCACAGAAACATTTGAAAACATAAGAGAAATTTTTCCTAGTGTATCACTTTTTAAAAAACAACACACCTTCTACCCCTTCAGAAAAATGCCCACATGAGAATGTGCCTAAATGTTTGCATATGCTTTGAGGAGTGAAATTTGTCACAGGAGGGTAGAGTACCCCAGCCAAGTGTCTGTCCAACCTGCTCCTGAAAACTTCCAAGGATGGAGATGCCACAACTTCTCTAGGCAGCCTGTTGCAGTCCTTAACCACCTTCAGGTTCAGAAAGTTCCTCCCAACCTCCAAGCCCAAATGTCTCCTGCTAAAAATTGAGGCCATTGTTTCTAGTCCTGTCCCCTACAGCCACAGAGAAAAGCCATTTCTATGTTCTCTGTAACCATCCTTTAGTTATTTGAACACTTATCAAATCCCCACTCAGTCTCTCTCTTCTCCAGACCAAATAACCCTAATTCTTTCAACCTTTCCTCATAAGTCTTGCTTCATATGCACTGCTCTCCACTGGACTCTTTCCAATCTGTCCACATCCTTCTTGAAGCGGGGGGCCCAAAACTGGGCACTGTACTCCAGGGAAGTTCTCCCCAGTGCTGAACAGAAAAGCATCACTTCCCTTGATTTGCAAGCAACACTCCTGTTAATACAACCCAGGGTGCTGCTGGCTATTTTTACAAGACCAGGCTGTTGGTTCATATTAAACTTATGGTCCACTGTTGACTATGAGCCAAGATCCCTCCAGGTCCCTCTCTGCAGTCCTGCAGCCGAGCCAGTCATTACCCAGTCTGTACTTGTGCATGCAATTCCATCCCAAGTGCAGGGCTTTGCACTTGTCCTTGTTGAATCTCAGTTGACTGACTGCAGACCATTTCTTCAATCTATCTAGATCCTTCTGGATCCTAGCCCCACCATCTGGAGTGTTTGCAACTGCACCCAACTTGGTGTCATCTGCAAATTTGCTCAGACTGCACTCAAACCCATCATCCAAATCATTAATGAAGACACTGAAAAATACCAGACATAGGGCAGATCTCTGGGGAACCCTACTTGATACCTCCTCCCAACTAGACATTGAGCCAATGGCTCCAAAATCACTTCAGCCAATTCCTTCAGTACCCTCAATGGCATCCCATTCAGCCCTAATAACTTGAGAGCACCTAGCTTCTCCAAGAAATCCCTAACCTATTCAGTATCACTCTAGGCTGTTTGCCTCCTTCCCTACCTTTGCTGCCATTTGCACTCATCACCTGCTAATTACCCCTATTGGTGAAGGCTGAAGTAAAAAAAAGGCATTAAATACTTCAGCCTATGCTGCATCATCTGTAACTAGATTCCCTCCTGCATTCCCTAAGGGACCTATGGTTCCTCTGGTCTTCCTCTTACTTGGAAAACCCTTGTTTTGCCTGACATCCCTGGCCAGCTGCATCTCAAACTGTGCCTTAGCCTTCTAATAGTCCTTGCACACCCGTATGATGCTCGTCCTCTTTCTTAGTACTACAACCGAGTTTCCCTTTTGGTAGGATTCCTTTCTGAGGTTGGACTCACTGAAGAGACTGCTCTCTATCCATGCTGGTCTCCTGTCGCACTTCCCACTCTTCAACCACACCAGGACAGCTCGCTCTTGCACCTTTAAAAGAGCCTCCTTGATGTGCAGCCAACTCTCCTGGGTTCCTTCCCCAGCTCAGACTTGCCTCCCAGGGGATCCTGCCCATCAGTTTCCCAAGTCCAGTGACCTTTCCTGGTGCTCTCCTTCCCTTCTGCCCTTAGGATTTTGTACTCTTTCATTTTGTCATCACTGTCACCCAGGGTGGATTTGATTTAAATCAAATCAATTTAAATAACCGGTCAGAAAGCCTCAATTGAATCACTGTTTTCTATTTTAAAAATGCATTCTTTTTGTTCAATATCCTTTATTCATTATGTTCTTGAAACTCTACACTTTTAGAGAGAGGCAAGGGCTTGACTGTGTACACAAACTTGCAGACTAGAGGGCTGACGGGTGTGTATCAGGTCTGTTATCTCTCATCTCCACACACTGCTGTTAACAAGGATGTGATCTCTGGAGACACAAATGTGCAGTTTGAGAACTGAAACTCAGCATCACAGAGATGCTTAATGGGATCTTCTAGACTGAGCACCGAGTCCCACTGGGTAGAGTGGCTTGCTTTAATCTTTACTAATCTATAGAGGAGCCTGTGGGAACCCCATAAGATTGGGCCCCTAATATAGTCCATGGCTTCTTGTGACCTATGTATAAAACTTTTCTAAAAAGGCTGCATAAATATATTGTCTCAAATAGTATATAATTAAAAGTTATAATCCCTATTCCATGAGCATATCTTTGAACTTTAACATAGAATCATAGATACATATCTTAAGCTATAAGTCTTTATATAGTTTTATTTTTAAAAGCATCTTAAAAAATAAATGATTAGATAAAAAAATCTGATTTAAATAAAAACCAATTTTTAATTTAAAAAATTCTTGATTTTTATTCACCCTGCTGTCACCCAAGTTACCATCCAACTTCTCATTTTCAACCAACTCCTCCCTGTTACATTTATTCTTTAGTAGTAACTATTAAATCACACTCTTTGAGATAACTAGCATCAGCACTCCCAGATATTATTTTGGGCTATCACTGTCTTGCTGTTTTATTTTGAGCACGGCCAAGTGATTTAACTTCCACACTTCAGCCTTCCCCCACCCCCTCTTTGATAAGGATAAGACACTTCAATAAACCAAAAGGGAAGACTTTAAGGGCCTTTGTACACACCACAAAAATGGCCTTTAAAGTGGCTTAAATGCCCTTTTGCACTGCTTTAATGGCGTTGCTGTTAGCACAGTCGGCAGCATATTCCTCTTTAAGTGACTTTGGTACATAGCAAGATAAAACACCTCCGAGGTGTTTTAGTTTGCTACCTAACTACGTGCAACAGTGCACAGGGCACTGGTGTAGCAAAACCCCCAGTTTTTCTTTTTTTTTCTTTTAAAATGCATTCTCTCCCCTTCCCCAACCATTTCTGACTTTTTCTTTCCCTCTATATTTCCTATAGATAAGTATAAGTGAGCTAAGACAGGATAAGCTTCACCATTTTATTTTGGTAGCAAGTTATGTTTGTTTTTTCTCCTTTATATTTTATAATAATTACGTTTATATTGATTTTTACTGTTCTATATTACTGTTTTACTGGTGCTATATGATTTAGGCCTACATATGTAAGTTAGCATAAGTCATGTCAAGTTTCCATTTTGTCAAGTCTCCATCCTGTCCCCAGGCCCGGTTGTGTAACCCATGACTCGTACCTACCCCTCCTATGTAACTTGGTTCCTAAATGAATGGGGATGAATGAGGGTGCTTGAGAGACAATGGCAGCAGGTCTAAAAATAGCTGCTTCTGAATTACCGAACCATCAACACCAATACCTGGACCAACAACCCAGCCCTTCAAACCACCCTCAGCATTCAAGAAACAAAAGATGAGGCAACCCACCATTGTACCAGGGCTGAACATGCTTAGTAAGAACACCTGGAGCCCTCTGGAACAGGACTGACCTTGCCTGGACAGGCCCTCCCCACAGGATCAGAAGTAGTCTGCCCCATAAAAGGGGTAGTGAAGACTAACTCCTTGGGACACCCTCTCCATCTGAACCAGCACCATGCCACACCACCTATCCACCCAAAGGCCCTGCCAGCGACCCCCCTCTGGACAAGGACTTCTTTCCAGCCTGGATAGGTAGCTATTACCCCCTACCCCCTCTTCAACCAAGGACTTGGACTCTGTTTCTCTTCCCCACCTAGACTCCAACCCTCCCACTGAGTCTCTTTCTCCTGCTGCCATTGTGCTTGCGTGCATGCATGCACCAATAACTTCATGGGGCTGTGTAGTGTGTTGTCTAATAACCCTGTTATTTTGAAACCCCAAGTCAGGTTTTTGTCTGTTTCTGGACTGTTTCCTCCTTGACACCACCTATCTGTCCCCCCACAGTCTCTAAGCTGTCAGCCTGTTTCCATCCCACAAGCTCCCAGGTTTCTGCCTCTCTCTCTTTCCTGGCTGTCTCCTCCTTGCCACCACTTATCTGCACCCCCCAATAGCTCAGATGTCTGCCTCAGTTTCCAGCCCCAATCTACGTTAAGTAACCCTAAACCTCAATTCCTCAGCCAGCTTCTCTAGTCCACCAGTTCTAATCTCAGTTCTGACAACTTTCACTCCCTACACTTTAACACTCTCTCTCTCACCTTAACCTTCCC